CTCACTCACTCACTCACTCACTCACTCACTCACTCACTCACTCACTCTCTCGTCACCTTTCGTCAAGGATCTGCGTGTGCCTGTCTACATAACAATGTTTCATAGCCACAGTATGCTTGCCTTTCTCTTTTTAACGACAATTGTCCTTATCATCCTTATCACCCTCGTGGCCGTTTGCTCTTTTTAGCGGTCCTATCAGTTTATCTCTTTGCAACTGGTGGCGCTACCGTGCGTTCGATTATATCAGTGACGTCAGAGATGGGCAAAATTTGAGTATATATCTTCAACGGAATGAATTATTAAAAAATGTAAAACGTTGTTAGTTTCAACGTTTCCAATAATTATTCTTAGGAAATGCCAACTACGATACACTGCTTACCAGGACTCGGCGAACCAATAAGATTCCATCGCGTCATGTGCATTTATTTACCTGATACTTTCGTCTATTCGAAGTATAGATCAAATTTGAAATAGATCGATTTAAAATAATATTTCGAATCTTTGGTTTACAAAATAGATGAAATGAAACGATATTTAATTTCAAATACAATGGCGAGTAAAATAAATTATCGGTGAGATATAATTTTTGGCAGATACGTATATTGAAATCGAGAGTTTGCCCATTTCTGTTCATAAGAATGAAAATAATGAGAATGAACGATAATTTAGAAAATCGATAGCGTACTTTTAGATTATACTTGTTATTCGCAACAAGTGCGAATAAAAAAATGTATTCGTTCACAAACGAAGTCTATTTCGGTGATGAACGAAATTATAATACAAATTAATTGAAACATTTTATTCATATTTCTTAAGCAAAAACACAAGAAAATTCAAGTACACTTATTCCTTACACGTTTACTTTTACTTCAACTAAAATGTAATTATACGATAACATGACTCGTGCAAGATGCAATGTTAATGCCTATATGCTTATGGATGTATGCATGTTTGTTGTAAATACGCAATGAACATGTTAGTTGACGTATGAAAAAATCAATGTACTCGTTTCGGTATGCATGCTCAGATAAAATCGTCATTTCCACGGAGCGCAACAAGCTCCGCCTTTTATCGCCATCGCTTTCTTAATTTAACAAATTTTCAACTGTTCACAAATCACTCGACAGCCCTTATTGTCTTATCGAGGAGTATGCTCTGAAATGGTTACAAAAATGGCAGCCGCAGAATAAGGCACACAATTGATGCAACGCGCATGTAATATAGCGATATATTTATCTTTAACCCCTTCGTGCCTCCACCTAAATACAGTGAACATCATTCTTTTCCTTTAACGCACATTCAATAACGCACTATTTTGTCGCGAAATAGAACAGAATCGAAGCACAAAAATTCGTTAAAAAATATCGTTGAAACTGTTTGAAACAGATTTTTCATTCGAGAATCAGTTATTTCAGCGATCATATCTGCGCGATTTATTTTTTTAGTTTTCGATCGAACGATTAACATCTTTTATTTCTTCATATATATAAAATATTTCCATCTATAATTCAAACTCTAACTTCTATTCGATGACAAATGAACGAGGAGTTCGTCGTTTTCTTTATTTCTGAAAAATTGCGATGGACACGATTATAAGTGTACCAACCTTAAAGGATAATTCTTAAAAGGAAAGCAGACAACTGATACAACGTAACGACGATAGAAATTGCCTGGAACTGTGTATACGTAGAAAACGATACCGTGGTCACGAAGGAATTAACGTAGTTGGATGTCAATGAATTTCTATAAGTATATGGATCGTCCTGAATATTATGTTACGCGTACGATGCCTAGGGAATCTGAAGCTTCGCAGGAACGATTGTGCCTATATCGCTGTCGTGATAATAGTTTTATCATTATCATTATAATTAACATTATCATTATTATTAATATTATTATTAATATTGTTATCATTATTATTAATTGATGTCACTAATGCTTGGATGATCAGTAGTTTAGTATATACAGGTATCTTTGAGGTATGTTTCGCACCTTATGATATGGGGTGTATGTATATATGATTTTCACGAACCACGTCTATCGATCAACTTATATAATATGCAACCTGAGGTATTCGATCTACTTGACGCAACTCAACTAAAGCGTGAACTATGTTGTAACAAGTGCAACTTCCGTTAAGTGTACATTTTTACGTGTATAGCGTGAAATATGCTCCACCTACATCAGACTCAACGTCTATTACAAAACAACATGCTCGTCTTTTACACGCTCAACAAAGAAACAAAAAAAAAAAGAAAAAAAAAGAGATA